ATCCTGTCACTCCAGGCCCTTGTAAATGTCTCTCTCCATCTCTCTTGCAGACTCCTTTCAGGTACTGGAAGGCTACAATTAGGTCACTCCTAAGCCTTCTCTTCCCCAGGCTGAACAATGCTTATTCTCTCAGCCATAATATGAGTGGCCTTGGATCAGTTTCATCTTTGAAGAGGTGACTGATACTTACCTTCATGTATTCTCTGACATCTGCATGGTCACTGACTCAGCCCAGGAACTTTTCTGTTGCTGCCTCTGTGGCTGCAGACCCCAGCAAAGGCAGCTGTTGCTTTCTGCTGCTTGAAAGGAGCTCAAGGTTGCCTCCCACCAGTGCTCATTAAGCTCTGGCTGAAGTAACACATCCCAGTGAAGCATTCCCACAGACTAATACCTAGACGTAGCACAACTGTCTTGCATGCAGCTGACACAGGGTGGGAGCATAGATGGGGACCAGGGAGGTGATGGATAAAAGCACTTCCCTTTGCTTTCAGGGCCTGTTGCCTCATGCACAGTCATACTGCATACAATCTTTATTCATTCATTTACTCCTATTGCATATTCATGTCTGCCTTTCTGGAAGGCAGATTATAAGGTGCTTATCCTTGGAATAACTGTTTGGGGTGAACATAAGGCTACAAGCTGTGTTTCAGGTTTAAGGTTCAGTTTCAGAGAAACTTGTCTTTACCTTTATGATTTCTGAGGTACTGGGAACCCTCCTCTGCTGAGAAACATCCTTGAAAGGAAGAAAGCTGCCCTCAGAAATTCCAGTAGAATTTCCTTCAGGAGGGAAAATGTTTCTGTGCAGAGGAGAAAATACTGTTGAGTTGACCAAGGACAGGCTGAGGTCATGATTTCACCTAAAGCTGAGCTGAACAGGGTCAGTATTGCTGAAAGCCAAAATATTTCACTGCCCAGTGCTTCAGGCCTGTGCTTCTTCTGGCACATAGTGCTGGTGAAGCCTCCACTAAAGCTCATTAATTTAGATGACAGAAAACTGTCAGTAAAAGAGCAGAGCTATGGAAGGTAGATATGATGAGGGCTCATAAAATCAGGAACAGCACAGAAGATAAACAGAGGGTGATTATTTATCCTCTCACAGTGTGAAGACGAATCAATCAATTGCAAATTGCAGGTTCAGCACAAATTATTAAGTTGGAGAACTTCTGATCACAGACTATTGTGTATGCTAATAATACATATGTATTCTTAAACTCTCTCTCTGAAACACCAGAAAACAACTTCAAGGGCTAATACAAAGGAACTACCTGTGGCTCAGTGAGGTTTTGCCTTACAAATGATTAGCAGCTGGGAAGAGCACTTGATTTGAAGAGGAAATTCTGATTTATGCCTGACTTGTCCTTGTATTTCCTCTTAAGCAGCATGTGTTAGCCACTGTTGGAGGTAGAATAGAGCAGCTAAGGGACTTTTTTTCTCATCCTGCATTGTGAAACTCCCAGTGTTGGTTACAGAAAAGCTGATGATGGGAATAAGAAGCTGTGGAGGGTGAGTTTGCATTTTCAGTGAGAACAGGGTTAAGGGCACTGACAGGCACATGCTGGACTGGCTTTTCAGCCAGAAGGCCAGAAGACAAGACAGGTAGGAGAGGGCAGATTACATATACTGTTTTGGTTTTCAGTTACCAGAGAAAATGGAAATACTCTGGAATAAGAAAATGAGAAAAACAGCAGGATACTGTGTCACAGGGCAGACCAAAGATCCTGAGGCAAAGCGTTACGCTCGCATAGAACTCTCTGAAAAAGTCTGTGACTCTGCAGGTGGGTAAAAGATAACTGATTCTTTTCTGAGAAAGCAAGTTCTAGAGATAAAAACATGAATCTGGTGCCTAAGAGATCTGGAATTGGACACTGCTTTGAAATTTCATGCTATCTTGAATAAATAAATCTATTAATTGATGGATTTATCCACAATCCACAGTCCTTCAAGAGGCTGGGCAGGTGTACAATATGTGAGGACAGAGATGGATTCACACTAACTGCAGTATTTAATTTATATTTCTTATTCATCTGAAGACGTATAGGTTGCTCTAATTCTGTATTTGCTGTAATGACAATCTAAAATCTGATTTCTTCTACCATAGCTACTGTTGGTTGTATTTAAAGCTGGAATAAAGGCAGGTCAGTGCCAAATTAATTTCTGTTATGTGATACTGTAACTGTTCTTTCTCCCTTCAGTTTGGGGAAACGCATCATAAAATGGTTTGCATTAAAAGGGACCTGAAAAATAATCTCATTCCACCCCCTGCCATGAGCAGGGACACCTTCCACTAGACCAGGTTGCTCAGCTCCATCCAGCCTGGCCTTGGACGCTTCCAGGGATGAGGCAGCCACAGCTTCTCTGGGCAACCTCTGCCAGTGCCTGACCACCACCCTCAGAGGGAAGAATTTCTTTCTCATATCTTATTTGTGCCTGCCCTGTGGCAGTCTGAAGCCATTCCCTGTGTTTTGTCACTCCAGGCCCTTGTCCAAAGTCCCTCTACAACTCTCTTGGAACCCTTTAGGCACTGGAAGGGGCTCTAAGGTCTCCTTAGAGCCTTTACTTCTCCAGGCTGAACAACCCCAACTCTCTCAACCTGCCTTCATGGGAGAGGTGCTTCAGCCTTTTGATCAGTTTCATGACCCTCCTCTGGACCCACTTCAACACATCCATGTCTTTCCTGTGCTGAAGTGTCCAGAGCTAGCCTTTACCCAATCAACAATTACTGCCCTGGTCCTGCTGGCCACACTATTTCTGGTACAGCACAGGATGCCATTGGCCTCCTTGGCCATCTGGGCCCACCTGGGCTCATAGTCAGCTGCTGTTCAACCAGCACCCCCAGGTCCTTTCCTCTAGGTCTCTTTCCAGCCACTCTACCCCAATCTGGAGTGCTGCAAGGGGTCACAGTGACCTAAGTGCAGGACCTGGCACTTGGCCTTGTTCACCTTCATACAAGTGGCCTCAGCCCATGGATCCTGTCTGTCCAGATCTCTCTGCAGAGCCTTCCTACCCTCCACCAGATCTACCCTCCTACTCAGCTTGGTGTCACCTACAGACTGACTGAGGGTGCACTTGCTCTTGTCTAGATCATTGCTAAAGATGCTACACAGGACTGTCCCAAACACTGAGCCCTGGGGAACACCACTTGTGCCTGGCCCCAGCTGGATGTAGCTCCATTCGCCACCACTTTCTGGGCCCAGACATCCACACAGTTTTTTACCCACTGAAGCAAACACTTGTCCAAGCCACAGGCTGACAGCTTCTTCAGGAGAATGCTGTGGGACACAGTGTCAAAGGCTTTACCCACAAACCAACCAAAAGAAACCCAAACAGATTAGATGTGCAGAGAAGTAACTCGGATGCAGAATTAGAGCTAATCACAAAACTCGAAATGTGCTAAGTAAAACCTTGTTTTGGAGCATTTTATCTTATCAAGACGTTGGTTGTTCTAACCTCCAAAGTGACACTTTCATCTTAAAAAAGTGTCAGAGGTCTGAAGCAGTGACCCAAGGTGAAAGTCTGTAGTTCCTCACACCTGGCTGATCTTGATGTCTTTTGTTTGCTTTGGCTCCAGGTCGCCTTCGAGACACACTGATCCATGAGGTTTGCCATGCAGCCACGTGGCTGATCAATGGTGTTCGTGATGGACACGGACAGTTCTGGAGGTTCTATGCCAACAAATCAGCTCTAATTCATCCAGAACTGCCAGTAGTAACACGGTGCCACAGCTATGAGATCAACTACAAATTCATCTATGAGTGTGTTCAGTGCAAAGCTACGTGAGTAATGGTTTGATCTTGCTTGTGACTATGGATGAACTTTATTACTTGTCAGTCTCTTGTGCCTAGAAATCATGTGTGTCTCAAACTGTGAAGCAACTGGGGTACTCTGAATTGTTACTTCATGTTTCCAGAGCCCACAGAACCTCACTATGTGATTCCACATGTTTATTTCCAGATAGTTTCAGTTCTAGTTCAGAGGTCAGGACAGGCAGAAGTGTCTTCTGAGTGACTGGTGACAGTGGAAGGTCTTTGGGAAGCAGTAAGAGATGTACCTGAGCTTTGAAGGAACAAGTCCCCACAAAAAATGAACACAGAATGTGTGACAGTAATTAGGTATTAGAACAAAGTATCAGAGGAAGTTTCTGGGTTTTGTATCTTGACATTGAATTAAGACTAAACATTTTGACTAATCTTATATCTTTATTATGATAGTGCTAAGTAAAATGTAGAAACCAACAATATAATTACTTCTATTGGTTTGAAACTATAGAAGCTATATTCAGTTGTCTAGTTGGTCTAGTCCTCATGGATCTAGTCCTCATGGATTCTTTCAGCTTGTGTATGCATTAAAGAAAGAATAGATGACTGCAGCCACACAGGAATGAGCAGCACTGTAAAGGGAAGGACTGAAGCAAGGACAGACCCCCTTGAGTGCAATACTAGTCATCAGGTTCTGTCTTGCTTACTGCTTTTGTTAAATAAAAGCTATAACTGTTGCTGAGATCAGGCAAGAATAAACATTTATTATAGAACTTCCACAAGTTTCTTACCTTCCCCCTGGGTATGCAAGGTGTTACATTATCTGGAAGACCATAACCACAGATTTCTGCATGTAATCACTGCAGTGCCAGTGGGAGAAGAGGAGGTGGTGTGAATTCAGCTCTGCATGGCCCAGGAAAGTGACTAATGGTGTCATTATTATTCCCTTAATCCCCCCAAATTCAGGGGCTAAATGCATGCTTGGAAAGTATGTATGGGAGTTTTTATTTTCTCAGGATCATCTGTGTGACTCCAAGGAGCACTGGAAGGAAACATTTCACATATGAAGGAATCTTCCTGAAGGGTTTGACTACACAGTGTGTTAGTTGCTTAGATACAACAGAGCATTGAGATTTGATGGTGATGGCTTTGGAAACTCCAAGGGGCAATTGATACATGGGTTGTGGAGATGTTGTAACATCTCTTACTACCAGGCTGAGAGTAAAAGAGACAGAGGAAGGAGCCAAGCTGAAATGGCAGTGGAAAAATTTCCCGGGTAGAGACGTATGTAATACAGATTTGATTGTTCCACTGTGTGAAGTGTGCACTGCTTGCTGTTCTGTATTACTGGCTTAGAACTCTAACCTAAGGAGCTCTGTCCCACAGGTACTGTAGAATCCAAGTGGTTCTTTCTCCTTTTCAGGATTGGTCGTCACTCCAAGTCCCTAGACACGGAGCGGTTCGTGTGCGCGTTCTGTGGGGGGCAGCTGGCCCTTCGCCAGACCTCTCGGAAGGCAGGAACTCCTGCCAGGACACAGCTGACACCCTTTGCTAAGTATGTGAAAGAAAACTATGGCCTTACTAAAAAGAAGCAGCAGGGGCTGAGCCATGCAGAAGTCATGAGGAAACTCAGTGCTGATTTTGCTTCAAAAACCAAGCTTGAAGAGTCCTTGTGAAACCTCAATTCACCTCCTTTCTTAGTGTCACTTGAATCTTGTACAGAGAGTAGTAAATGAGTCTAAGAATGTGTTTCCGAGGATTCCAGATAATTGTAATATTTTAGCATTATTAATTCTAATAAAGGCCTTAAGGCCTTTTTTAAAGTGGGCAAGAGTGAGAAAAAATGATGGCAGCAAATCCATAGTGATGCACAGGTCAGTCTGGGTATCCTTAGACTTCAGATAGACATCACCTGTGCCTGGGGAGATGGCCTTTTGGGGCTGACTCACTGTGTTTGGCTGGAATTTTCTGAGCAGTATTTACACACAGTACTCTATAGCATGTCTTCAGTGACTGCGGTGAACAGTGGATTTACTTTGGCCTGGGGAGCTGACGTGCTGTAGGCTCTGTGTCTGTGTGTGCATTTGTCTCAGACTGCCAGATGCAGGAAAAGTCCAGGCCCACAAGCCAAAGTCTGGATTCTGTCTGAATGACTTCCAGGCAGGCAAAGGGGAAGAGCTGAATTGGCTTCAGATATTCTCCCATGCAGTTTCTTCAGTGATCCTTGGCTGTTTTTGTTAAAATTAAGTGGTAGGTAAATGATGCCTCAGATCTATTAGAGCAAGTGTGTTTCTCCAAAGCTCTCTGGCCCTTAGTGAGATTAAAGCCCTCGGATTCAATCTGATGGCAGTATCCTCTACCTTTGATATTTCATAGAAACTAAAAGAGAGGCAAAGATCAGGCTGGGGAAAGCAAATGCAAACACTTTCCACCATAGAAAGAGGAGGTCTAGTTAGAGGGTTTAAGCCTTTCTTGTAAAACATGACTGTGTTTGTGTCTGCTGTGAACAAATTGTGCAGAGGATTAATAATCTCGAAAAATCAATAAATGCCAGTTTTATACCAACTGTGGCAATGACCCAGGCTACTTTGGTTTAATTTTTTCATGGCTGTGTAGGTATACAGAACCCTGGTACCAGCCCAGCTCTACTGGGTGAGGATCAGCACAAATCAGTAGTTGGCACTGTGCAAGCATTCCCTGGGAGATGGCACTGAAGGGCCATGAGGTCCAGTGCTGCTGGATGATCTCCCAGGAGCTCTCATCAAACCAGTGCCAGTGAGGCACCACCACATCCTGCCCCAGCTAAGGAGCACTTGAACTAGAAACTAGTAACAACAATAGCACAAAGCCACTGACTGTTCACAAACTAACTAAAGAAAATCACTATTTACAGCACTTTTAAGGGGAAAAAGTAGTAGTGAGTGTTACATTTCTTGGAAGTTGTACTCTTTGAGGATTTGCCAATAGAAATGTGTGGGTAGTTAGGGTCTGGCGACCGGAAGATATCGCGTAGTACGGAAAGATAGAGCCCCTTTCCCTCTAGTTTTGATAGCCAATAGTGTGTAAGCCTAGTTTGTAGCGTAAACAGATGGACGTGACGTTGTAAAACCTAAGCCATATAACACCTTGCCGCTTAGCAATAAACGCCATTTGCCATCCACCACGGTGGTGTCTGTGAGCAGATGGACCGAGCGGCCTGGGGTTGGTCGCCGTGCCGTTCCTGAGCCAGGTCTCCAAGCCACCAAAGGCATCAAGTGGTGCCGAAACCCGGGAATATCGCCTGGATTCAGGTGAACGGCGGCCGGAGCGGCTGGACCAGCCCGGTGGGGAGGACGCTCCTGGACCAACAAGGAGGATGGAAGCCCTTGTGAAGGTTGTATTAGAGGTACATAAGCAGTGGGGTATAGATTGTAAACCCAAAGACTTTACGCTTGCTATTGCAAGGCTTGTGCAAATTGGGGTCATTGACCAGCCGGTGGATATTCTCCACCCCGAAGTGTGGGATAAATGCACTAAAGCATTAGCTGAGGAAACGATGTCCTCCGGTTGTGGGAAAAAACCTTAAGTCGTGGGGGAAAGTCCTACAGGTCTTGCAGAAGCCATACAAGAGCAGGATACCTGGAGG